CGAGCCTGACTTGAAGTACCATGGCGAAGATGATACGTTTGATTTCAAGATAAATATCTTCATGGAATTATGTGAAAAGTCTGGGATACCGGAACAACTACACGCGAAAGCATATTCGACTATGCTTAGCGGCCCGGCCCTAACTCACTACTACTCTATCACATCAAACGGACATCGGAAGGATTTTGATAGTTTGTGCACTGCAACAAAAGAATATTTCGAAGGTCCAGAAACAAAACGAAACAGGTTAGCCAGATGGGAAGCTCTCTCTTTAACCCGAGTCATAATGGAAAATGAAAGCAAAGGCAAATCAGTACAAGAATGCCTAATGCTGCTGGTAAAAGAACTTCGATTTTTGCAACTAAGTTTCGACCCTGAGTATAGGACAGACAAGCATCTACATCTTAAACTCATAAATGCTTGTCGAGGGGTCCAAGCTTGTCAACTTGCATGCTTTAAGCCAAGTGAGACTCTAAGTGGTTTAATAAAAGACCTCCAGGCGTCAATATCTACAGCTGAAGCAAACAATGAGGTGTCTACAACGCAACTTTTCACTGACCGGCGTTTTCATAAAGCTAATAAATTTAACCCCAACCGACCATCACTAAAACCACCCATAAATCGACACACAAGCCAAACACAGCCTTCTAACAAGAGATGTTACGTTTGTAACCGTCAGGGGTGTTGGTCGCACAATCATTCAACCGCAGAGCAAGAAGAAGCTAGAAATAGTTTCAAGAAAAAACTGCTGCAACGTTTTGAAAAGAAAGCCGAACAATTTATCGCAGAATTGGAAGGCCACCACAACGAGGTTGAACAAGAGGAATCCGACCTAGAGTTCAAAATGGACACTCTAATTTTAGAAACGAACTCACCTACTGATGACATCGAGGGGCAATCACACTTTGACGAATCATTTGTTACATCTATGGGATTTGTCGAAAAGCCCCAAGAAATTTTTTCGACCCTCGCTGATAACTCCTTTGTTCACTCTCTGACTGGTAAAGATCAAACGCAAACAATCTGTGAGCCTTACACTGACCCAACTATATTTATAAATCCAGGAAGATACAATGATACCTATTTTTATGGAATTGTTATTGATACTGGTGCATCGAAATATTCCACAGCAGGCTACAAACAATTCTTGGCGCTCAAGAAAATTTCAAACGCTTATCTAGATGAAGCAAAAGCTGGGTTGATTAAAGTACAATTTGGTATAGGCTCTAGTACGTCAATAGGTACTACCAACTTAGACACTCCAATCGGAAAGATTGAGTTTCATATTGTTCAAGCAGACACGCCATTTCTCCTATCACTTCTAGACATGGACAAACTCGGAGTTTACTACGACAACCTAAAAAACCAATTAGTAACTCCTAGCAAGAAAATTCCTGTAATCCGGCGTTTTGGTCATGCATTTTTGCTTTGGGGGGAGTATTTAAAATCTTCAATTTCAACATCTCTTGATATGAATCCTTGCTTCCTTAATGAAGCAGAGCTAAAGCGACTACACCGTCTATTCGGTCATCCTTCTGCTCAGCGACTTTTCTCTGTATTAAAACAATCAGGACATAGCGATGTTCCTAGAAAATATTTAGATCATTTAACTAAATTCTGCAACCATTGCCAAAGGCACCGAGGGGCACCTAATCATTTCAGGTTTAATCTCAAAGACACTGACCTTCAATTCAACCATTCCATTCTTGTTGATATGATGTATATTGATAATAATCCAGTTCTGCACATTGTCGATGATGCGACAAATTTTCAGGCTGCCAGATGGCTGAATGGTATCTCCGCCAAACACACGTGGGACGCTATACGTGCCTGTTGGATAGATACTTACGTTGGACCTCCAGACTGCATAGTTACAGATGCTGGTAAAAACTTTGTAAGCAAAGAGTTCAACCAGAATGCATCCTCAATGGCAATCTCTGTAAAGAACGTTCCTGTCGAAGCGCATTGGTCCATTGGAAAAGTAGAGCGGTACCATTCCTGTATTCGTCGAGCATACAAAATAATAGTTGATGAATTAAGGGGAGCCGGAGTTAATAAAGACTGCATGCTTCAAATGGCAGTTAAAGCCATAAATGACACTGCTGGGCCCAATGGACTAGTTCCAACTCTTTTGGTATTTGGAGCATACCCAAGAATGACCAACTCAGACCCTCCAATGCCATCCGTTATTCAACGAGCTGCTGCTATCAAAAAGGCAATGCATGAGGTTGGCAAATTACGCGCTAAGTTAAGTGTGAACGCCGCATTAAACCATCGAAACGGCCCTAACACAACAAGTCTACATGACCTACCATTAAACTCCGATGTACTAGTGTGGCGCGAAGGAAATACTGGCCAAGCAGGCATGTGGAGCGGCCCTTTTAAACTAATTCAAGTTAACAACGAAACTTGTGTAATTGATCTACCATCAGGACCAACGGGCTTCCGCTCAACTTCAGTAAGACCATATTACAAAATTGACGATACAAACATTCAGAGCGATGATAAATCAGTGCAAGCCGGGGACGTCCAAAGTAACAATAAAATAATACCTCACCGAAACACGCCTCGAACTCGCAAGCAGCCCCAACGAATCTGTAATGCGCCTAATTTATTTGCACATTTTATATCTCACACAACTACACAGGATCCTTCATTTCAAATTTCCCGACAAAAAGAAATACAAGGCTTGCTTGAAAAAGGTGTCTTTGAATTTGTCCAATACTCAGATATTCCGCTTGGAACAAAAATTTTCTACTCGCGATTTGATGATGAAGTGAAAAACAAAGGAACAGACAAAGCTTTTGAAAAGTCCCGACTCGTTGTACAAGCGTATAGGGATCATGGAAAAGACTTCGTATTAACTCAGTCACCCACCATTCAAAGGGTTAGTCAACGAATTATCCTCGCCTTAACTACCACACTACAACTCAATTTATACGTCCGTGACATATCTCAGGCATATGTACAATCATCAACAAATTTGTGCCGCGATTTTTTCATCCGACCACCTCCGGAACTAGCAGAAGTAAGATCCGTATTAAAAGTTATCAAGCCCTTGTATGGTATACCTGAGGCAGGAAATCATTGGTACAACACATACTTGAAACACCACACCGACAATTTACAAATGGTGCAATCAACGTACGATCCTTGCCTCCTGCATAGTAGACAAGATGGCAATGCGGTCTGCATACTTGGTATGCAGACAGATGATACACTTTTCGGAGCTAATGAAGCGTTTATTAAGAGGGAACAAGAAGAGTTAACCAAAGCAGGATTCATTGCAAAGGAACGAGAGACGCTCACAATGTTAACTCCAATCAAATTTAATGGGGGAAAACTCAATCTTGAAGAGGACCAATCAATTGTTCTAACACAGGCACAGCATTGTGAAAATTTGTGTCCAATTTCTCCTATACCTATAGATACAATCAGCCCAAGGAACAAAGTTAGAAAGGGACTAACACCAAAAGAACAATATGTCGCCCAGAGAGCTCGAGGGGCATATGTTGCAAGTTTGTGTCAACCAGAAGCTTCATTTGACCTGTCTGTCGCTGCTCAAATTATCGATCCGAATGAATCAGATATCAAATTACTGAACAAAAGAATTAACTGGCAAAAAGAAAATTCATCCAGAGGATTGAAGTTCATAAAACTCGACATAAATTCATTAAAAGTGATAGTATTTGCTGACTCATCATTTGCGAACAACAAAGATTTCTCGACCCAGATTGGTTTCATAATACTACTCGCAGATAGAGAAAATAGAGCAAATATTTTACACTGGTCCTCCATAAAATGTAAAAGAATAACTAGAAGCGTCCTCGCTGCAGAATTGTACGCAATGGTACATGGATTTGACTCAGGAGCAACCATAAAATCAACTCTCGAGCAAATCCTTGGCATGCACATTCCTCTGACTATTTGTACTGACTCGAAATCTTTATACAAATGCTTGGTAAAACTCGGCACCACTCGCGAAAAGAGACTTATGATAGATCTCATGTGCCTTCGTCAATCGTATGAGAGACGCGAAATTACCCATGTATGCTGGGTCAAAGGAGACTGCAATCCAGCAGATGCAATGACAAAATCCAAGTGTTCTAATGCTCTGAGAGATCTTATTGACACCAACACTATCAAAATTGATCACCATGAATGGGTGGAGAGGAACGAAGATATTGTAGACCGTGTATAATGTACAAGTATGGTATTAACTTTTTGTTTTGCTTGTTGCCAGTGTTTAATGACTTAACGATCAAATGATCAATATGTATTTCCTTAGAACTAATGACTAATTGTGTTGATGAGTAATGAGGTACCCGTTTGGGAATGGCGTTAGGAGACGGAGGTTTTACGGTTTATAGATGTTTTTCTTCTAGGAAGACAGGGGGGGGATAGATCAATTCATACGTACCATAATTGTTACTGCTATATCAAGCTTGTGATATCAATTACCACCGAAGTATTCCGACAGGAAAAATCAACAATGAGACAACAGGATATGCTAGTGTGAATTTTCGTCGGATGAGAGAATGAGGACAAGAGACTTATCCTCGTATGTCTATCGGCTGAACAGAATGGACTTTTGTTTTCAAGATTAAATTAAGATCACTTGAGTTAAATAATCAGCAATGAAGGAGCCCTTTAGTCAGAGCTTGACTCATTCATTCCTCTGCCGCCATACGCCATGGAAGAGACGCCACACGCTGCGGCTTCATTAAATCCCAAAAATGGATACAGATAGGTTGAAAGTAAATCTCGTCAGAACTATAGCTACCATAGAACCTTGGTCCCGACTCGAGAAGTTATCGACAACGTTGACGGACCCTTTTTTGACCCTCGCCGACATAAACACTGCAGAAGAACGACAAAAAAAGGTTAATAAACAAGAACCATTCTAGCCGTTGCTTCCTCTTTCCTAAGCCTTGAACTTAATATCAGACGGCTCAGTGTCCCGAGGTTACGTTTCGATTCCGCAGAACTATATTCCCGAAATGAAGTTTCTCAGCACTGCTACAGCCGCGGCATTGGCCAGTCTTTTACTTCTGGTACCAACTGTTTATGGAAACAGACAGTATAAATGTCCATCTGGCGATACTTTTGAAGAGGCAATGATCATGGATCTGGCTAATAAAGCTCGCGAAGAAAATAACCGTGACTCACACCCTGGTATTCCCACGCACGAATTGTGCAAATCATATTTTTTCACTAGGAAGATCCCGGGTGATGGTTAGTATTCCCTCTCCTCCAAACTTTGTCTTTTTAACTGTTCCTCTCCAGATTCAAAACAGTACGCCTACTTATTGCAAGTTTATGGGCAACCTCCAACGTACCAATTCTCTCAACAATTCAACTATGGATGGCAACAGTGTTCTTTAGAAAATGGGAGTTGATGGGGGATCAAATTCCACAGTCATCTGCAATAACATAGTACCTGTACATGGAAAGTTGTAAAATGTATTTTCGCAACTGAGTAGAAACAAAAGCGCACCATTTGAACATTGCCAGTCAATATCGCTCTCTTCTCTTCCGGAAATTCTTGATCTGTTTCTGTCTTTGTTCATTCCACGCCAACTTCATTGAAACACTTGGTGGTCTAGTTGAAAAATGCCTATATCTCAGCCGTTTGTCAAAAATGTACATGTGCATGACAGAAGACTCAATGAAACTGTATAGAATCTCATAAACAGAATAATGCCTGCTTAAACGTTGCACAGTCTAATGTTAATTTTGATTCTTGTCTATTCTCAGTCTTTGACTTGATAAAACATGTAGATCCCCCTGCCAACACGCCAATTACGTTAATGCGGATGCTACCTCCCCTCCCATATCTTCCACGCAGCTCCCTTCTGATATTACTCCTCACTCGTGCCTATTCTATCATACACTCAGATTAGTCTTCAGACCATTATTATCTCTCTCCAGCTTCAGAGACGATAGCCCGGCGCGCGTCCATGAGATTCGGGAATAATGGCAAAACCATAATGTGCGGGACGCTCTCAGTCCCGGCATCAGGGCTTCATCCGAAATCTTAGCCTTGGCGCCTAAACAATTCAAAGTCATAAATTCCTCGGAAATACCCGTTCCAGCATATCCATGCGAGCCGTATTCAATCTCATTTTTCAAATGCAAGTTGCCCATCCTTCGTCAAGTTGCAAAGGCCCATAAGAGAAACGATCACGCACAAGACGAAATCCGAGATTTGTGCATTATAGCTTGGTGACCTCTTTGCGGGTTACGTAGAATCTTATTTTTAAAATGGTCGGCCAGGCTCGGTGGTTTGTGGTAATATTGAGTTGGAGGACTCGCGTGAGAATGGTAGGTCCGTCACAGATGAGAATTCATCGATGTCACGGTTTCAGTAAAAAATGCTTGGGCAATCTGGTAAGCACTGTCGGTAAAAGGATCACATTTGGGTAGTGTGAATTGTTCTATGTATTTACAGTATTCAGGTTGTCGTTAGGACACTGACTGGGGTCTGGTTTAGCTCATTAGCGAGGCGCTTGGAGTAGAGGAAGGAATGGGAGATATAGAGAATAGGAAGAGACAACGTTTTATGTATTTCGAGATACCAGTTAATTGAGATTATTCACCGACTTTATTATGGCTAGGAATCCCTGAAGAAGGGCGAAGTCGAAGTTTCAAGGAGAAGGTTCCCTGGGGAACCCTAACAAATTGGAGTTAGGGCGGCTAGAGTCATGATCGAATCTTGTTCCGGTCTCGGGTGGATTTAAGTGATTATTGTAGTGTACTTAAAGAAGCTGGAGCTACCATGAAGGAGTTCTCCAGCTTCTCAATCTTATACTTTCATAGTCTTATATCTCTAGTAACCTCATATTACTCGTCTCAAACTCTCGTCCTCTAGTCTCAACCTTCAGACCCGTTATCCAGTATATTCCCTTGTAGGTATTTCGCCTAACCATTATTTGAATACGTACAGCAGACGGCGATCTCTAAATTATCCACCCCTCGCCGTAACAGACTTCGTGATGGACAGCTGACTTCGTGACGGCACCCAATTTGTATTACTTCGTGTTTTACCAACAAGTAGAATATATTAATTATAAATCTCTAGAGAGAGAATTCCTGTAGCTAGACTAAAAATCTATATACACTCTGAGGTACTCCTCTTCCATAAGGTTCTCCCTATGACTAGAATAACATGGACTCCTCAACAATACCCTTGAAGATTCTTGATATACCTGTTGTCCTCATGAACCATCAGTATGCTTCCAGAAGGTTCATTTAGAGTCTTCTAAGCTCCTTGTATCCCGAGATCCTTCCCGAAGATTCCCTTGCTTTCATTGCCTACGCTAGTCAGCGTAGACTACAGGAATCTTTAGGCTTAACAGCCGTTACAGTCGATCATAGTTGTATATTTGCATGCTTTGGACATCAACTCGGATTCGGATTTGATGCGATCCTTATTGGCTATCCCAGATACTGAGAGTATAGTGAGCAATTTTACTGGCACCTCTAGAGATTGGAAAAGTCCGAGTTTCTCGACGGATCTCGTGGTGGGGGATGGGGGACGAATCTAAACACTTGTCAGTTGTGTCCTCTGTAAACTTCTAGATCTCCATATCGAGTCTAAAGAGCCGGAATTGAGTAATAAAGTCCTCACTTCTATGAGGATACCATCCACTTTCACTGTCTGTATCATCTTCATCTCTGTGCATATCTCCCCCTTCCCATCATCATGAAGCTAAATACGATCAGATCTTTTATTTTTTTGCATCAGATTTTAATGGCGTATGCAGCTATCTAGCTATGACACATTATCAAAGAAAAGTACAGAATAGATGATTCAACGTAAAGAAAGAGCTCTCATGCCGAGCATTTAATTTGCAAGTACCACTGCGAAGTTATGGCGGCTTTTTCTTCACTCCAAGTCAACCCTCATCCGTGAATACCCACCCAGGCGCACGTCTCAAAAACCCTAAGCTGTCCAGATATGCCTCCATCATCTTTCAACTTTTCTCCGCGCGAAATATGGTCTGTGGTGTCTCCTTCCCAAGGGGACTAGATGCCCAGCCTACTCAAACCATACCGGAGAACACCACCAGGAGGTGGACCACAACACCTTCCATCGTTTGCTTGTTTTTATAGTGTCAGCTGCACTCTCGCAAGCGAAGTCTTGGCGCGCACAAAGCTTAATTTGTAAAAACTCCATGCCAAAATTCAAAATCACACGCCCGTCGAAAACGTATCCCTCTTCTGCATCATCTTATAAACTTGTCTTCATTTCTCTCACGCCCATCCCATAGAGCTTTCTCCCAGCTCTGTGTGCCACACTTTGTTTCCTCCGTCGGGTGTGATTATAGGCGTGGAGGTGTAGTTGGTGGTCAACCGAAGCCAGAGAATTGTCGATGAGAACTGTGGTCATTGAAACGAGGATGTACTAGGTCGTACTTGTAGACTTGATGAGGCTTAGTTGAGAGTGAAACTTGTTGGGAGTGAAAGATTGATATGGTCGAGTATATTGAATCATAGCCACGTGGGCCAACTTGTTCGTTATTGCGAAATTTGACCGAACTTGGCTCTGGGAAAATATTTCAATCCCAGGTTTGTAGAGGACACCGCGTACAGGTGTTCAGTCTTGCCCTCTTCTTCATTCGGTTAGGGCTGAGGCAACTGAATTAGGATTTGTTCTCTAGTTTCAGCAATTTTGGTTTTCGGACAATTTGCATATTTGGAACTCGCTATTTTAATTATATGATAATTTGATCACATGAATTCGTAACCTTTGATAATCCGAGCCTCGATTACCTCACTTATCTTTTCGTAATCAATCCGCCCCTTCACACATTCGCACCTTCATAGCTTCGAAACTTCGATAATTTTTCTTGGTCGAAATCGACTCGACCTCTGCAGCTTAACAGCTTCGAAAATCTGCCAATAATTAGATTCATAACACTCGTCTGGCTTGGCCTGCAGGTTTTTGAACCTTTTTCTGGCGCACGCAGCTTCCATTGCTACTATTTTTATTATTTTTTGGGCAGAAGATTCTTTGGAAAAGGTGGCCGAATTCCACGAGTAACGCTGAGCTGAATGGCTATTCATCGCCGGCAATATATCAATGATCTTACCAGTAATATTAAAAACAAGGAGTGGAGGTAAAGACTGAATGCCTGTACACCGTGCCTTCTATGAACCTGGGAGTGAAATATTTTCCCAGAGCCAAGTTCGGTCAAATTTCGCAATAACGAACAAGTTGGCCCACGTGGCTATGATTCAATATACTCGACCATATCAATCTTTCACTCCCAACAAGTTTCACTCTCAACTAAGCCTCATCAAGTCTACAAGTACGACCTAGTACATCCTCGTTTCAATGACCACAGTTCTCATCGACAATTCTCTGGCTTCGGTTGACCACCAACTACACCTCCACGCCTATAATCACACCCGACGGAGGAAACAAAGTGTGGCACACAGAGCTGGGAGAAAGCTCTATGGGATGGGCGTGAGAGAAATGAAGACAAGTTTATAAGATGATGCAGAAGAGGGATACGTTTTCGACGGGCGTGTGATTTTGAATTTTGGCATGGAGTTTTTACAAATTAAGCTTTGTGCGCGCCAAGACTTCGCTTGCGAGAGTGCAGCTGACACTATAAAAACAAGCAAACGATGGAAGGTGTTGTGGTCCACCTCCTGGTGGTGTTCTCCGGTATGGTTTGAGTAGGCTGGGCATCTAGTCCCCTTGGGAAGGAGACACCACAGACCATATTTCGCGCGGAGAAAAGTTGAAAGATGATGGAGGCATATCTGGACAGCTTAGGGTTTTTGAGACGTGCGCCTGGGTGGGTATTCACGGATGAGGGTTGACTTGGATTGAAGAAAAAGCCGCCATAACTTCGCAGTGGTACTTGCAAATGAAATGCTCGGCATGAGAGCTCTTTCTTTACGTTGAATCATCTATTCTGTACTTTTCTTTGATAATGTGTCATAGCTAGATAGCTGCATACGCCATTAAAATCTGATGCAAAAAAATAAAAGATACAAGGAGTGGCTGTCACAGAACTTGCCCGGATTAGACTGTTCACTAGGACCACTCCGTCTTCGAGGTTAGGCTGTGGGTAGAGCAGCGATCCTGGAAATGCGGATGAGGCGTCTTATGAGGTATCTAAGGGCTATGTACCAGATGGGGGGTAGGGTACAAGGGAAGAGGTGATCCGTGGAGAAAGGATGATTCTCAAGTGGCCAAGGGAGGGGGTTCAGCCTAGTCTACACGGAGAATAAAAGGGGTGGGAGAGTACGTGGTAGATAGGCTTCCCAAGGAAGAAGTTATTAATAACTATCGAGTTATTGTCTTTCAACTTCATCTGAATTCATTGAACTCTTAAAGCTCAATGTGCTAGAAAGTCTATGATTCAAGTGGTACAGTAAAAAC